AGCTGGGGGGCAGTGGCTCATGCCTGTAGTCCCAGCTACCCAGGAGGCTGAGGCAGGAGGATTGCTTGAGCCCAGGAGTTTGAGGTTGCTGTGAGCTAGGATGAGGCCACGGCACCCTAACCCGGGCAACAGAGTAAGACTCTGTCTCGAAAAAAAAAAAAATACTAGGAATACAGTTAAAGAAGTTTAAGTAAATTAGAGTGTACAAACAATAATGTCACTATTATAGTAGGATGTCTCGTTTTGATCTTAAAGTACATAAAACTTAGAATTCTTTTTTTGTAGATGTAGGTCATTAATTGAGACCAATTTTGGTTAAAATACTACCAAGCAATAAATTATCTACAATTGCAGGTTAAGTTTTTAATTACATTTATATATAAACCATCTCAGAGTATGATTATATAATTTGACCACTATGGAAGTAACTGAAACCTGGTTTTTGCTAGGAGTGGTTGCTTTACATGCAGGTGTAAGAAAAATTCACTGAAATGTTACACATCAAATCCCAGATAAACTGTGGGTTTTTTTAGCCTTGAGGTAGGGGCGAGAGATTTCCGAAATCTAATAAATACAGCAGATAACATCAGGCCATCTGTTACTTTTCGATGCAGATTTTTTAGCTATGTAGAAATGGGAGAAATACGATGGCAGTTTTATGTTCTTCCAGTCTGTCAGATTTTCGCCTTTTCCCAAGGATTAAGGTTCTGAATAAGCCATTCCATTTTATATTAAAAAGCAAACACAAAACTCCCTCATAGATGCTGGTTATTCTGGGTTATAATAGAAAAATTGATATGTATTACTACGGACTTAATAATGACTGTGATTGTTTTAAATATGAAAAATTTTAGAATTTTATAATATCAAGGCATTAGGTTTTAGTCAGTGATATACCATCCAAAAGGCATCTGAAACATAGGAACCTAATTGAAACATTATATCTATATGAATATTTTCATATATGTATATACTAAAATATCATCGAGAGTCAATGTTTTAAGGGATTGTTTTTCTAAGTATATTAACTATACTAATAAAGGGCCAAAAAGCTGTCCTAAGTGAAGTCATGACTTTTTTTTGACCTAAATATCAATGCCTCCAAATGGATGTATTAATAGTAACAATCTTAATAACTGACATTTAGTAAGCAATTATGTGTCCTAAGCACTTTATATCATTATCCCATTTAATCCTCATAGCCACTGAATTGGATATTCTGCTTGTACAGAAGAGGGAGCTGAGTCTTGGATTAAATAACTTGCTTGGGGTCACACGTCTACTTAGTGGCAAAGCCAGCCTAGTAATGATAAGCCTCCCTGTGTCGGTCAGGTTTATGGACAGGATAAAGTTCTCGCCTTAAACAAATGGATAAAATATATTTGTAATGTGTATAACATGTATAACATATTTACAACATGTTTAAAATAAAAGCTTTAATCTGAGTCAACCTTTTGTGCTAGTATCTGGATTGATAGCACCATCATGTTTTTTGTTTTCCTTAAGAACCCATTTCTCTTTAATCCTTGAGTAGTTTTGCTCTATTAAACACTTTCATCTTCTTGGCTGAGCTGTCGGAAGAATAGGCGATTTCAAATGAAGTGTTTCTGTATTGGCTGCCATAACTCACTTCAATTCAATGCGTCTTAACTCGCTATATGATGCCTGTGATGATGTATGATCTTATGAAATGCTGCGGCTTTGCGTATCTGTTCTCTTTAGTGAGCAGATCGCTCCTGGGAGTCCTGGATTATAGCAGTCCAAGTTCATGCACCTCTAATTCAGTATCAGCACTAACTTTTATTTTTAACTCAGTCAGTAGTTCCTTTCTACCTCTGTATTTATGGGTCACTACATTTGAGTGATTCCAAAGGGTAGTTTTAAGAAATTCAGATTATTTAAGCTTTTAAATGTTGAAATGAATATCAGACTTAAAATGGAAATTTTTCTACATGTAACTTAGATCAGCAGTTTTTTCCCCCTAGTGTTGATAGCTATTACTAGCACAAAGCCCATCCTTTTACCATTTTAGAAAAGTAATTGAATTACATTATGTGATTATTTTTTCTTCTGAATATTTAAATTTTCTCTAATGGAAAGTATTTTAAATGTTTCATGCTTAATCAGTTTTTTAGGTTATTCTGAATAAAACATTCATTCTTTTTTTTTTTAAGAATGTATATTGACAATAATATATAATCAGTATACAGTTACTTTCAATAAAAGAATTAAAAGCCATTGAGTTAGTAGAGGTAGAGTTAAGGTGTCTATATAAATAAAATGAGGCCAAGCGAGGTGGCTCATGCCTGTAATCCGAACTTTGGGAGGCGAAGGTGGGAGGATTGTTTGAGCCCTGGAGTTCAAGACCAACCTGGGCAACATAGCAAGACCCTGTCTCTAAAATACATACATACATACATGTTTTGTAGAGCTTCCTTCAATATGCCATTACCATTTTTTTCTTATCTATAAATCATATTTAAGATTTTGAATGACTTGGTATTATATTGTGGTTATGTTTTAACTGACCAGTCATAGGTGATAGAAGCAGTTGTCGTCCTATGCTTCATGGGAAGCAACCAGTGGACCAACATAGAGGATACATGGAGTCACACACAAGTACCTCCAAATTTTTCTCAGCACGTACCTAGGGAATTCTTGACAATGTAAAGTATTCAATATTAAGTAAAAGATACTTCTGGACTTGTGTTCAATTCATTTGACAGGATTTGTGAGAAAGGTGAAGCCTGGTTTGAAAATCACACATAGCATTTATAATATTGCTATGAAGAATGTACTGCCTGAAATATTTCTTATGCTCTATTGATTGTTGGTAGAAACATACAGATATAGTAAGATAATACGGGAAGAAAACTAGTTCATAAAAGGTACACAATTGAGAATTGCCCTTTTTGCCATTTAGAATGGCTAATTTTCAAGCTGAAAGTGGAAATCACTTTTTACTTACTCCTTGGAGCTCCTGAAAGAAGGGAAGTGCCCAGATGCTTAGCAGATATTGCTGGAGTTGCTTCTGAGGCAGAGTAGAAAGCCATCTATGGAGAATATAGGTAAAGGCTTTCCTTGTCTTATTTGTTGCTGGTAAATTCCTCCTCTACCTAGTGTGTATCTAAGTTGTGTTGTTGGCTTTTTGAAGAGGGTGATTTATTAGTTTCAGCATTCGGATAATTCTTGATAGTTTTGCCTTTAGTCATATTTAGCATTCTGAGATTCTATGTATTCTTGAATAGATAATAAGTATATGTATAAATTTTCCTTGCCAATTTCAAACAGAATTTCTTAAAATTTCCTAGTATGGGGTCCAGAATCCCCCGTCAGCATCCTTTCAACAGCCTACCCAACCTGTAGCTAAGAATACCTCCATGAGCCCTCGACAGCGCCGGGCCCAGCAGCAGAGTCAAAGAAGATCATCTACTTCACCAGATGTAATCCAGGGCCAGCAGCCAAGAGACAACCACACTGATCATGGCGGATCAGCTGTACTGATTGTCATCCTGACTTTGGCATTGGCAGCTCTTATATTCCGACGAATATATCTGGCCAATGAGTACATATTTGACTTTGAGTTATAATATTGTTTTGTGACTTAAGAGCTGTGACTCAACTGCTTCATTAAACATTCTGCATTGGGTATAATCTAAGAATTGTTTACAAAAAGATTATTTTATATTTACCCTTCATTCCTTTTTTTGATTCTTAAAAGTTCAGTATAAGTATAGCTAGACATTCAGACTATGTCCAGCAGTGTGTCCTGCTTACTTTAAGGGACCGGAAATGAAAGTTCCTTGTCTCACCATTTGATCTGCTTTACCGAGAAATAATTTATTGTTGTTTCTCATGCCTCAGCTTCTTTTTGTGTAAATTTGTGAACTTTTCTGTATAGCCCTTGGAAATTTTTAGATAAAAGATGATGTTTTAAGTTCCAATGAGTATTACTAATTACTTGATACCATTTATTGAATACTCTGTTTCTACTTATATAGAATGATACAGGGATAAAAGAGTTGAAAAGGGAAAGCAAAACTCTTCAGGTAGCTTTCATGTCATTCATAGGAAGTATGCTGGGATTGCTCATTCTGTGACTTAGTGTCCTAAACATTCTTCAGTGAAAATAAATATATTTCAGTCAAATGTTTATGAGGAGATGAGATCACATATTTGTTATTGGATGTTACTTGAAGAGGGAGTACTTGTAACCACTTTCATGTACTGTTATCCCTCATCTCCAATATGCACACAAATTTAAAAAGAAAGACAACAATCTGCTACAGATCCTAATTTTAAGGAAGAAAGGGTCCATGCCAGGAAATCACTTGGTTTTCCAGAAGTAGGAGAATCTTAAGATTTGAATGTTTGCTCTGCTTTGAATTGTATATCTTTGAGATGTATTATATGCCTAGCTTTGTAATCACTATAAATTTTAATTCTAAGAATATGCATAATGTTGAAATATTTCATGTACCATTTTAATAGAAAAGCTCAGGGCCCAAGTAACAGTGATAGAAGTTAGAAAAACCTTTACTTAGAATTGTCTACCTAATTAAAGCCCAAGAAAAAATTTTCAGAGGAAAAATCAATATATAACTTAGTACTAGCTAGCTCCACAGACTCTAATAGATAATTTTATCATCATAATGCCTGTGAGACCATATAATTACAGAAAAACATTGTTTTCAGCAGTTTAGGTAGCAGCATTGAGGGTACTCTTGATTGTGGTGTTAATGAAGACTTAATTTTTAAATACAGGCAGTCCCTAGCTTTCAAATAGGTTATGCTCTAAAAGTACATTTATAAGTTAATTTTTTTTTACAGTCAAACAATGTTGTAAATGGTATTTAGGTTCTAGACCAGTCCATAAAAGTTAGCCCATGTGTATCTTTAATAGTGTGGGGGAGGGTATTCATAAAGTCCTTATGTGGTTTTAACTAACTGAAATTATGGGGCAAGATAGAAATAATTTGTAAAATCATTTTAAAGGCAAATTTAATTTTTACTCCTGTTTATGAGACTTTGGTTCTATTAACTAGCAAACACAATTTGTTTTCATAGCCAGTTTTCCTTTATGTCTACACCTAAAACAGGAATATATTGTATACAATACAGAATTGTCCTAAACTTTAATAAATTAGCATTTTAAAGGTTTACACATTGTTTGTTATATATCTGTAGTTGAAGTTGGTAAAGTCTAAAAAAGCCCAAGGACTTTATGAAGACCTCATATGTCGGGGAAAATTATAGGTTACCATAAGAAAATGCATAAGAAAATGCATTCTGAAGTCTTGATTTGGAATATAAGATATTAGAAATGTTGGTTTGTTGGTCAGTGATCTTCAAGCAAGAGGTCACCAACTCAACTGGGAAGACCAGGTAGCGTTATTACCTGAGCAGAAAGAAATCCCCATGCCCTCGACCTATGCTGAGATTAATCGTGTGCCAGAAACAATCTTCCCTCCATTTCCTCTCAGTCATACTTGAGCCAGCCTCTGGATCTATGTGATCTTGTTGCATGTTTCCATGGGGTCTACTTACACTTTAAAGTTAAGCAAAGAAAATTTTGCACCGTGCAGATCCTTCTCTGTCTGATTGACCTCTCTTCCCTTAATCACCACTAACTGGCCACCTGCTTGTTTGTGATGGGATTTTTTTTTGGCACCTGACAAACCATCTGAAAGTGGCACATTTTCCTTCTTACCTTTCACCTCACATGTGCTCCCTAAAAACCCTTAAGTTGTCCATCTGAACCGCAATGTGGGGTTAAATGAGCAAAATTGATCTTTGAGGCCTTTCATACTCAACGAGCCACTGAGAGGCTTCTTCAGAAAACTATTATTTTTAAATCCCTACATTTTCCCTTTAATTCCAGCATAAGGCTAAAACTGGATGTGTATTCTGGTAGGAAAAGGCTTAGGACTCCCTCTTCCCCCAGTCCTCAGATCTCCATAACTCATGGCTTTTTCTTTGAACAACACAGTACACGACTGCATATCAATGTAGTTAAAATAGCATGCTTAAAAAAAATGGTTTGTTTCACCTGTAACTGTTTAAGCCAATGAACCTTTCAAATTTTATGTAATGTGGGGCTTTTATGTAGCACTTTACTTTTTCATGCTGCTTATTATTTTATTCTACTGAAATAAATGAAAAATTTCATGAAGATTCTCAACTAATTTTTTTTAAAAAACTTCAAAGACTGTCTATCATTTTGACTATGGAAACACAGAATTTCCTATTTAAGAAGAATAAGAACTCTTTTTGTTATTTTGGGCTGCAAATAAACTTTGATATCTTGAGACCATTTTTATAGACAGGAATCAGTAAGTAAACCTCACACATGGTACTTACTTGAGCAAAGACCTAGGCTGAAATACTGAAAAGCCTTTATTGTTTTATTACTTGCAGGTAAGTATATGCAAAGTGAATAAATTTAGTGAACCTGACTTTAAAAGAGTAATGTGTACATTAACATATGTACTATTAAAGCCTTTGCAGGAGGCTGTGTGTCACTAAAAAGCTGTTTGGAGCCTCTTGAACAGTTGTCTTCAGAACTAGTTTGAGCTGCTCAATAAAACCCATGTCTTTAACCCTTCATATCTTGTTTTTGGCCAGATTGTATTTTTTATGTCATCCAGTCTCGTCTCCTGTCCATTTTACCTCATTTCTCTCGCATCTTTCCGCTTCTCTTCATGCTCACTGCCACTTCCCTAATTAGCCATTAACTCATCTGAATTAGTGCAATAGCCTCTGCAAAGGTCTCCGTCTTGCCCTGTTCCTTGCACTGCAGGCAGTCTTATCCAATACACAGACTTGATCCCTTCTCTTCCATTGCTCTTAAGATAGGCCCAAGCCCTTAACACAGGACACAAGGTTGGGTGTGTCCAGAGTCCCGCCTAGGTGTCCGGCATAATCAGACCTCAGCAGGTGCTTCTGGGGCCTTCCCATTGCCCTGAGCTTGAGCCACTGGGGCTGATCCTCTGCCTTGAGAGAAACAAGCAGAGGTTACAGTTGTATCATCCACTGCCTCACACCATACAAAAAAAATCCCAAATGGATCAAAGACCTAAATGTAAGAGCTAAAACTATAAAATTCTGAGAAGGAAACATAGTAAATCTTTGTGACAATGAATTAGGCAGTGGTTTCTTAGTTACAAAATCAAAAGCACAAGCAACCAAAGGAAAAGATACATTTCATCAAAATAAAAAACTTTCTGTTTCAAAGAACATCAAGAATGTGAAAAGACAGCACAATAGGAGAAAACGTTTGCAGATCACATATCTGATAAAGGATCCAGAATATCTAAAGAATAATTATAACTCAATAATAAATTTCCTGATTAAAAAATGACAAAGTATTTGAATAGACATTTCTTCAAAGAAGATATACAAATGCCCAATAAGCACATGAAAACAGGCTCAACATCGTTAGTCATTAGCGAAATGCACACCAAAACCACAGTGAGGCCAGGTATGGTGGCTCATGCCTATAATCCCAGCACTTTGGGAGGCTAAGATGGGAGGATTGCTTGAGGCCAGGAGTTCAAGACCAGCCTGAGCAACACAGTGAGACCCCATCTCTACGAAAAATAGAAAAAACTAGCCAGGCACGGTAGCACTTACATGTAGTCCCAGCTACTTGGAAGGCTGAGGCAAGAGGATCATTTGAGCCTAGGAAGTTTGAGGTTGCAGTGAGCTATGATGGTGCAATGCTGTCTAGCCTGGGAACAGAGCAAGAGACTGCCTCAAACAACCAGCCTATTCTAAACCAATTCTAAAGTGAGATACCACTTTAGAATCAAGGATAGTTAGAATAAAAAAGCAGATAACGAGTGTTGTTGAGGATGTGGAGAAGTTAGAACGCTCGTTCACTGCTGATGGGGATGTAAAATAGTGCTGCTGCGTTGAAAAACAATTTGGCAGTTCCTCAAAAAGTTAAAGTTACCATATGACCCAGCATTCCCACTCTCACATATATAGGCAAAAGAAATGAAAATGTATTCACACATAAACTTGTACACGAATATTCATGGCAGCATTATTGTTAATAGCTGAAAAGTAGAAACTCAAACATCCGTTGAATAAACGACATGTGTTATATCTGTGCAATGGAATATTATTTGGCCATAAGAAGGAATGATATGATGATATATGCTACAACATCGATGAACCCTGAAGACAAGGCTGCATATTGTATGATTCCATTTACATAAAATGTCCAGAATAGGCAAATCCACAGAGAAAGCAAGTAGATGGGTGGTTGCCAGGGACTGAAGGAAAGTGGGAAGGGGAAGGGACTGCTGATGGGTATGAGGTTTCTTTGGGGGGAGAGGAAGATGTTCTAAAATTAGTGGTGATAGTTGTACAACTCTGAACATATTAAAATCCATTTTAAGGGGGTGAATTTATGGTGTGTGAATAATTCAATAAAGTTGTGATGAAAAAAATTATACCATCCAACTATGGTTTTCTCCTTGCTGTAATCACAATAACTGAATTATTGATAACAAGAGAGCTTTAAAGTAAAAAATTGGTAGGACCTAAAGTTGTATCCAGAATGCAACAAACATTTCTTGAAAACCAACCACATCCAGGCATAATTCTAGGGTCACACAGCCAGTTCTTTATAGGATTGTCCAAATGGAAGAAAAGAAAAGAAAGATCCTTACATAATCATGAATTATTTGGTTGATGCCATCCTTCAAAATCAAAATGTATTTTATGCTTTGATATGTGTTCGCTGAAGAAAAAGAAGAAAGATGTGTATTTGAGAGAAAAGCAAGTATCTTTGGCCGTAGGCAAAACATACTGTCTCAGATCCAGAAATAAAGTAATCCCAAGAAGACGTGCCATTCGTGTGTTTACTCAGCATTTCCTGGACACATGCAGGCACTCATCTCCACAGCCACCGAGTCCTCTCTGCGCGTCCACTCAGAATCCAAGCTGACTGCCTGGCGGATGGGACAGACTGGTTTTACGCAGCCAGAAGATGAATTAATAATCTCAGCACAAAGCTGGCATGTTGAAGAGATTTAATTTTTTTTTATATAACAGTTTTAGCCAAAGCTATTCTAGGATCCGGCGGAAGCAGAGTTTCACAGGAGGACACACTTCTTGACTAATGGCCAATCACTAAGCAGCAGGGAGGGCAAAGCCTGGCGTTGGTGTCACGGCCTGGTGCGTAGGGGCTGGGGGTGGGACAGGCGTCATATTAAACAGTAATTCAGGACAATCAGCCTTGCCAGCCATGCCGTCACCGGCCCTCGGAGCAGCACTGTTGGAAGGCAGCAGACTGGATCAATGGTTAAGCCAGGGGGAGTTTGTCCCACCGCAGGTTCCTGGAAAGCAGCTTGTTGCATCATAGACGTCCACAAAATGCCTTATTTTACAAGACTCATTTTGTTCTTGCTTTGCCTGATGGTTCTTGTGGAAAGCAGAAAGCCCAAGAGGAAGAAAGGGTCAGGACAGCTGGAAATGCCCAAGCCAAGGTAAAGTCACTTGGGATGGGGGTGGGGGACAGGGAAGAAGGGATGTCCCTCGGTGCAGTAGCAGCAGCAGCAGCCCAGTGATGGCTCCCAGGAGGGCCAGGGGTTGTGTCCTCACACTGTCTCAGGAGAACCTGTTTTCCAGCCGCAGGGAGAGGGGGCCTCTACCTCACTGAAAGCAGCCTCTCGCTGGGCACAAGTACTCTGTGTGTCACAGCACTGAGAGCAGAACTAGGCTGGGTTGGGCATTCAGTCTGATGCCTGTGTTCAGCCAGAGCATTTTGACTTAAGGCAGATAGTTGAAGACTTAGCGAGTAAAACAAAAATTCTTTATACTTCTTCAATTGTGCTGCTTTGTGTCTCAGGATTACATCCTGTGGGGACCAGAGGTGGCCTGCTAAATAGGTATACTTAAGCATTTTGGGGGGAACTATATATAGGAATTTAGCCTGAACTATTAAGAAAAAATAGAATCGGGAGTTGTCTTTAAATTATTTAACAGGGAAAAACTTTATAATGGCATTGGGTTTCATTTTATTGTTTTGAATCTTAGAACAGGTATTTGAACTTTGCTAGATTATCAGAAATATATGTGTGCACTACAGTGAATGCCATCTCATGACCTAATGGAGACATTTCCAAGAAATACTGGTTAGGCTCAGAATTTGCATTCAAAATCATTACATTACAAATCTGATTTCCTCGGTAAGTTTGTTTTGAACTGACATACAAGGCACGATACTCCAGGCCTGAGGTAGACATAAGGACGATTAGACAGGAAGATAAGAAAAAAAAGAAAAAGCAGCTAAGACGCGAACACCGTGTGGGGCATGTTCCACATTTATTTTCCATTCTAAGCATTGGGCGAATGAGTGGTTTTGAAAATAAACTAACATCTTGAGGCACGTTTTCTAGGTCAGTGGTCTCCAAACATTTTTGATCATTCACTGCTATCAGTGACAATTTTTGGAAATTGTACCTTCAATATATGTATATTTACTTACAAATTACATACATACAATATTATAAATATGTACATAAATTTAAATCTTGACTACACCCTTATTTTTAGAAAAAAACCTAAATGTAGATAAGAGCTACGATCTCTACCTGCAGCACCCAGTGGAGCCTGGTGCCCAGGGAGATGCGATTACTCTCTAGGGCCTGGTCCTGCTCGGCCAGAAAGAAACAGACCAGATCCTCCAGGACGGTGGGGAAGAGGCATTGCTCCGCAAGGCTTATGCTGGTCATGTTGCCAGAGTCATAGGCTGTGGGCTGGAGGGGATCTCAGAGGTCATCTGGTCCAGCAAGTCCCCTGAGCAATCACTTGGGGTTTTGTGAAAAGGGGGTTCCAAGGTCACAGAAGCTTGGGAAACCCTGGTTTAGACCATTTTTAACAGATGTCCTTACAGGTGAACTTCTAGTGAATCTTGAAGGGGGGATAAATTATGCAGTGTTTTTCAGAAATAACAAAAACTCCACACTCTTTGGGGGGACCATCTTGTGGGATTCCTACTCCACAGAGCACACATTGGGAAACTGTCTGCACCAACTCATCTTGCAGACGCCGAAATGGCGGGTCAGTAATTCGTTCGCACCGTTTGCAAGTGGCTTGACAAGACTAGAACACAGGCTCCTGATTTGCTCAGACTGGAGGAAAAGGTGTCTGAAACTGTCTGTTCCCTACGAACAGTGCTGGGGTTCAGCTCGAGTCCCTCAGGGGCCCCACTTGGCAGTCTGGGCTGTCACAGCATCTCTGTCGCTTTTCCACAAAAGACCCACGGTCTCAACCCCAGACTCCTGCACGAGCCTGGGGACAGCTTGAACCTGACTCGTGGGGGTGAGGAGAATTTCTTGAAATTCATCCCATCAGGTGTTAAAGTGGCAAAAGATGAAAACATACATTGAAAGAAAATGAAATATTGGTTGATCTGAGGCTAGGAAAAAGGATAGAGAAGGTGGTTCTGGGCCTTTCTGTCTCCCAGGGCTCGGGAGCCTGGGTCGGAGGGCCGAGGCTGTCCGGGCGGCGCCGCCATCTCCCGTGACAGGATGAATGGAGAGTGCCCAGCTCACGCCAATAGCCCAGCTCACGCCAACAGCTCAGGGTCTTAGTGGCCTGAGTGATCAAACAACTGATCCCTTAAAAAAAAATTCTGAGCCTTCCACGGCACCGGGATTTAAATCTCCTCTCTCTTGCCGGGCTGGTGGCGTTCCAGGACTTCCGCTCCTTTAATCCTTTCCCTAAATGGATGTGGAAACTGCGTGGCCCAGGAGAGACTCGCTCCCCGTGAGTCAGGGGGGCAGCGAGCCGGCTGCGCTCACGATTTAATGTCTGTGATCTGCTAAGCCCTCGGGCTGAGCTCTTCATCTGCCTTCCTGGGGCATCTTTGCTGGGGCGTCTGGACACGGCCCCTCATGAGGTTGCTGCTCAGAGAACCAGGCCTGGTCCCCCTCGACTCGCGGGGGCAAGGCCCGGGGAGGACACCAGCGAGTGCCCAAGCTCCTTGAAAGTGCCTGACGTGACTGCACCTGCATCAGGGGGCTGGACTGAGGCCCCGAACTTCAGCTGTAGGGAGGAAGTTAAGTTGGACTTTCCTCCTGGCATGTGCCGCTGTAATGAGCTTGTCTAAAGCAAATCTGGTCACGGCTCCCTGCCCCATCTGCGTAACACCCTTGCCCGGCATTGTCTTCCCATTCCGTGGATACAGGCAGAATTCTTCCCGTGGCTTTCAAGGCTCGGCCGGGCCTGGCCCCTGCTTGTCCCTGCAGACTCATTCTCTCCATTTCGGGTACACCCGTCCTCGTCCTCTTCTCATCTAATGCCCCGTCACCCTCTAGCCCAGTCACTTCAAACTCAGTGTATCCCAAACCGGACTACGGATGCGCTGAGCTTAGGTGCCTATGGGATACTCAGCTAGGGACATTCAGTTACGTGGTCAGATACAGAGGCAAGAGCAGAGGGCATGTTGATGACAATTTAAGCCACTGGCTTAGGTGAGCCTGCCAAAGAGAGTGTAGAAAGAAGAAAAGGTGGCTGGAACAGGGTCCTGGGGACACTGGCATTTAAGGGACGGGCTGAGGAGGAGGGGGAGGCTGCCGTGGGGACTGAGGAGGAACTGTCAGAGAGGTAGGAAGGAACCGAGTGCCTTGCCCTGCAAGATGGAGTTTCTAGCAGAGGCATGGTCCTGCCTTCTGCAGAGAAGCCAGCCCTCAGTAAGAGCACCTGCAGGGCCTGCGGCCGGGCACCAGTGGGCAAGAGTAGGGTGGTGCCAGCAGCATGTGGAACGCAACTTTTTTGGCAAATTATTTATCTAGAGGGGAGAATTTTTTTTTAGGTGGAACACCAAGGATTTTAGTACAGTGAGGTCATTTTGTATAATACCATAATGGTGGATACATGTCATTATGGATTTGTCCAAACCCACAGAATGTTTCACACCATCAAGAGTGAACCTCCGGGTGAACTGGGGACTTGGGTGATAATGACGTGTAGCAAGAGCGCCACTCCGTGGGGACGTTGGTAATGGGGGCGGCCACGCATGTGTAGGGCCGGGGCCTGCGGGAACTCTCTGTGCCTCTGATTCAACGAGGTTGTGAACTTAAAGCTACTCCAAAAATTAAAGTCTTTAAACTTTCTCTTTAAAAAAGGAAATGTTCAAAACTGTGACTAACATACCTGTACTGCTATCACGTGCAGTCAGTTCTGCATGAACTGGCAGCTGGAGGAGGGCGTGGGCTTCAGACAGGTTTTCTGCTTGGTTTTGGGAAGGACTCGAACCCGGTGTGAGTGCTGATGGGACGGAGCAGTGAAGGGGGGAGGTGCTGAGGCTGCTGTGACCAGGGTGTTTGAGGCAGAGTCAGGGGCTCTGCGAGAAGGGGGGTCAGCTGCTTGCTGAGCCCCAGTTACCTCAGACCCTGTGGGGAGACTGACTGGGTGAGATGCTGCCGGACAGGAGCTGCCCTCACACTGGCCGGCCTCACCGCAGGACACTTGCACTTGCCCCTCTCGCTCTCAGGACGCAGGTCCTCCGGATCCTCTCAGGGCTCGCTCCCCTCCAGCTTCGGAAGCACTTCCCAGCCACCTCAGCTAAACCGCCCTCCGCCCCAACCCATCTCTCTCTTATTTCTTACTCTGCTTTATCATTTTTTATGGCACTTAGCGCTTCCTGAACTTACGTAATTTATCTGTCCACTCATTTATTGTGCATGTCCCCCTCTAGGTTATAAGCCCCGTGGGGACAGTGAACATATGTCCTCCCCATGACTTGAACAGCATCTGGGCAGAGCAGCTACTCTGCAGAAATGTGTTGAGCAAATTAATCTGAGTCTAGGAATTGAGGTGAGGTGTGACCAGAGTGTGGGGTGGCTGTTCAGGTGGATGTTGACATCCCCAAGGTTGACGGGAGGAGCTGAGTGGGGAGGGAGAGAAACGGGCAGCTCCTGAGGGGATCACAGGGGAGTCCCGGGCCCGTGAGAAGCTGGAAAGAATCTTAAGGTGAATGTGTTTGGGGCAGGGCAGGCCGACCTTTAGACTAGCACTGGACGATAAAACTCTCGATTACAGAAATGTTACATACCTTCACCGTCCCATATGGTAGCCACCAGCCACCTGTGGCTATTGAGCACGTAAGTGTAGCCAGTGTAAATGAGAAACTGAATATTAACTTAATTTTAATTAATTCAAACAGCCACGTGTGTCTAGTGGCTGCTGTTTTGATTGGCACAGCTTCAGCCCTCCCAGTGAATTACCCCACTTGGGTGGAGCTGGCAGAGAATGAAAGTGAAGGGTTTCATAGGGAGATACCTCAAGATAAGACACGTGGCATTTCTCTCTTATGGAGTTTAAACAGGAAACATGCCTGTTTCTCTTAAAAGTGAATGAAGGGTGACAAGAACATGGGGAATAAAAAGGGGTATGTATAAATGAGCAATGAACATTCAAGGCAAAATTTCTTCATTTGTTTCTAAAAACCTTCACTATGCTGCAGTAACAGAGAATCACAGGCCCTGAGAGGGCGTCTGGCTCCTTCCACGTGTGGGTGAGCAGTCCCCTCACCTGTTACACCTAAACCCTCAGCACTGACAGATGCTCCGGGCACCTCTCAGGACTCTGCCAAAGTTACCGGGACAAGGTCTGTCCTAGTGGTTCTCAAACACTGCCAGTACCTTGGAATCACCCAGGAGCTCTACAAAATTCCCCGTGCTGAGAGCTCCCCTCCAACCAACCAAATCCACATCTCTGGGGGCGGGACTTAGGCATCAGAAGTTTTAAAATCTCCCTAGGTGATTATAATTTGTAGCCAAGCGTGAGCCTCACTGGTCTAGCCAACACGACACAAAACCAGGTGGAGTTTATTACCACTGAAGTTTGCCAGATCTAAATGTGTTAAGTTTGGAGCTGTGGTTCTCAGCCTTGGCTACGTGGGGCTCAGCTGGGGAACTCTGAAAAATGCTGACACCTGGGTCCCGCTCCGGAGCTGTGGATTTCCTTGGCTAGGGGCGTGGCCTGAGCATCAGGAGCTTTAAAAGCTCCCGGGGTGCTCCTGAAGTGTGGTTAAGGCTGAGAATCATCTGGTTTAGGGGTAACTTTGAGCAAATATACTGCAATGGAATTGCTTTCAGTTTATTCTGGAAACTGGCTGTTGTCTTGCTCTGTTGCTCCCGTTTATTGAATGTCTACTATGTGCTCAGTGCAATGGACACAGAGATAAACTCAGACCTAAGGTACACTCACTTAAGTGCCAGGCACGAACCCACAAGCCTTGCAAGGGCAACAGATCAGGTGCTGCGATCAGCCTGGCTGCGTGCAGCCTCCCTCTTCCCTCCCTCCCTTCCTCCTTTTCCTTTCTTTTCTCTCTCTCATTTCTTCTTTTTCCTCTTTCTTTTTTTCTTTCCTTCTCTTTTTTCTTTTCTTCTTTCTTTTTTTTTCCTCTCTTTTTTCTTTTTATTGTTTAGTGAAAACCCTGTCAGCAGACAACTGCTTTAGAATATTTTGGATCTGATGATTTAGGGTTGTGTGTGGTCGTGGTAAAGAAAATGATCTGGAAAGAGTGAGTGTGAGAGAGAGAATCACTCCTCATCATCTGGTTTAGAGGAAGGGACCGATCGAGGCTGCATGCTGGGCTCTGCCCCCACTTGGCTGAGTGGCCAGAGCAACTCTGTCCCCAGCTGTGGCCTCGCTCCCCTGCTGGCTGTGGATTCTCTTTTTGGGGATGGAGGCTCTGCACCAGGGTGGATGCAGCAGTCTGGACTGAAGGAGCATCAGGCCTGACTGGGATAAAATCACCATTTTAAAAATTTGACTCTATTTGTCTGAGAAATGTATTTGTCGCAAAGCCAGCAGGAGGATTGCTTGAGGCCAGGAGTTTGAGACCAGCATGGGCAACACAGCGAGACCCGATCTCTACAGAAAATAAAAAAAATTAGCCGAGTGTGGTGGCACATGCCTGTAGTCCCAGCTGCTGGGCAGGTTGAGGTAGGAGAATCACTTGAACCCAGGACATGGAGGTTTCAGTGAGCTATGATAGTGCCACTGTACTCCAGCCTGGGTGACAGACTGAGACCCTGTCTCTAAAATAAATAAATAAATAAAAATTTTAAAAAGAAAAGTATATCATGCTCTTCACTCAACCATTTTCATCCAATTACAACTTTTGGCAAGATAATTAAGAGTTTGCCAAGGTAGAACACTGTCCTGCCCAGGAGGGCATCTACTTTGGGAAGGCTCTGGAAGGGCCTGGCCCTCGGGTGGGCCTGTCTGTGAGGGTCCTTCAGCCCTCTCCCCTGGGTTGAGAAGGAGGTGGCAGAATGGAGAAAAGGTGCCTAACAGGTAGAGCCCGCAGGGAGTAATCTCTCCAAATCCCCTCAGGCAATGCCTTGATGAGCTAATGGAAAACGTTTCCTGCTTGTCTTTGCAGTCACCTGTATAAGAAGAACTTGGATGTGACCAAAATCCGAAAGGGAAAGCCTCAGCCGCTCCTCAGAGTGGACGACCATGACTTCACCATGAGGCCTGCCTTTGGAGGTAGGACCGTCCTCCCTTGGCTGGGTGGGGCCTTGGCCCCAGGGCTGCACGGTGCACGGTGTCCCTCAGGGACAGCCCGTCGTTGGAGGGCAAGATTTCCCACTCAGTCGGATAAGCCCGACGCTGCTTCCTGAATCGCTCATTTTTCCAAGGAGAAAAGAGCAGGAAGTGGTTGGGAGGGCTGTTAACTGAAGAGAGCGGAGCTGGAGACCGGCCCTGCTGCTGTCGACTTTTTCTTTCCTAAAAATTAAGAGCAGGAAGGGAGAGTAGGGACACAAAATGGCACCTTTGTGGCTGCCACTGACCAGCAGGGAGTTCACGGTTTTGAGGGGACCACCTGCTTTCCATGTGGCAGCAACAACTCAACTCATGGCGAGAACCCTTCACACCCCTGCCCAAAAGGTGATTGGCTACTTCCGGGATGAGGGAGGGGTGCGTGCCGGTGGCCGTCCTTCCCAGGAACTGAAGAAATGCCAGTTCAGGCTGCCATACACAATCCCGTAGACTGGGTGGCTCACAGCTCTGGAAGCTGGAAGTTTAAGACCAAAGTGCCAACAGACTCAGTGTCTGGTGAGGGCTCACTTTCTGGTTCATAGATGGCACCCTCTCACTGTAACCTCACATGGTGGAAGGGGCGAGGCAGCTCTCGGGGGCCTCTTTTATAAGGGCACCGATCCCATTCATGGGGGCTCCACCCTAATGACATAATCACCTCCAAAAGGCCCCACTTTCTAGTACCATCACCTTGGGGATTAGGATTTCAACATATGCATTTTATGGGGACTTACATCTTTGGGCCATAGCAGTGGGCAAAGGAGTCAGTCATCTGCTGACCCGGCAGGAAGAGGGGTAAGAATAGCAGAATGAGCGAGATCCCCGGCCAGCTCCTACCCCCGTGCTTGTGGGGAAACAGGCCCAGAGCACATCAGCTGGTGGGTCCCAGCCTAGACAGACCCAGGCTGGCTGGCTGCCCTTCCTTCATCTCTCCCTTGATCCTCTCCTGGGCCCCATCATTGTCCTGGGGCAGCAGGAAGGTGCAGGGGTGACCTTCTGGCCAGTCATCAATCCTCTCTGAGCCTCCATTTACTTGTTTATAAAATGGGGATAGTAATCCCCACGTTGGGGGTTGTTCAGATTAAACGAGATAATATATGTAAAGCCCATGACACACATTCATTCTCGTCCCCTCCGCAGAACCCAGCTGTCAGACCTTCCTCTTGTGTGACTGTTAAGGGATTAAGAAATTAATTTATCCCAGAGGCCTTTGCATTTTAAAAGGCCTCCAAGCCTCCCACTAAATTCCCTGAGCTCTGACAGCTGCTAAGCAGGAGGGGCACGTAGGCGGCAGATTACGGACTCTTCTCCTTCCCACCCACAGCCTCACTGCCCCGTCCCAGGACTGCGGGAGGCCACCATATTTCTGGGGGTTTGAGTTTCTTTGGGGACTCGCCAGGGCAATTCTGCCAAGGAATTTTATGAACATGAAGTTTTACTGAATAAGCAGCTTTAAAATAGCTATATTTGCTCCAGGAAGTCTAAGCGAGGCTGGAAGCTCCACTTTCCCTTTCTTGCATCAGTTAAGAGCACAGAGGGTCGGCTGAGTGACTAGGAACAACAAAAGCAAGAATATGAACAGCAAACACTGCTTTTACAGCGATTATTCTGTGCCAGGCACCATTCTAATCAGGGTACTTAGATGATCTTATTTCAATTCTCTCATCAACTCTATGAGGTAGATACTATTATTATCCCAGGATGGGGAAACTGAGACACAGAGAAGTGAAGCGAGTGGCGCAGGTCACACTGCTGCTGAGGTCGGACCCTCGCTCCTAGCTGGGTCTTTTTCTCGCCTCCTGCCGCATGTACGTGTATACCAACACACACAGCAAGCAGAGCAGGCACACTGCCTAGGGCCCACAATGCTTTTAGGGTCCTCTCAAAATGTTTTATTTGAAAATCAGGAAGAAACCATGAAATTTTATGTAGAAGTTGTTTAAATATATACTATTAATATATTCATCATTATACTAACACAGTTGTAACACATAAAAGTCATAATGCAGCCTCCCTCAGTGCACTGTTTTGTGGGGCAGGCGTGTGTGTCTGGGTGTGGGTGCTATCCTCAGCGATGCATTGTAACTTTGTAGCGGAGGCTGTTGTTGCTGTCAGGAGCCTGAGCAATCACCTGGTGAGTATCCTCAGTTTATAGAAGAAGAGCTTGGGGTCCAGGGAGTTAAGTGATGGACACAGCACAGCTGGGGCAGAATTTAGGTTTCTTCTGTGACATCGGCTACGAAGTTGAAAGCCTTGTAAAAACGCCCCCTCCTTTGGGAGAAAGCCAGGAGCGAGCTCTCGGGAATGCCAGAAGTCCTGCTGCCTTCCCAGAAACCTGGCTCTGAGTGAGAATCATTCAGTGTGCTGCAGCCCCAGTCAGGGTGCTCCTTCCTCAAGCCACATTTGAGGAGCAAATTGGACTTCTTGTGCCGTGATCACTGCATCTGCTAGGCCCTTCGGTGGGGCCCTCCAGAGTGTGGAGGGTCAGGATTGTCCCCTGGCCCTGCCTGGGTAAGCTTCTGCCCCCTGGGGAAGGCCCTGCCTTTGGGGAAGCTGCAGGGGATGGAGGTGTCACCTTCCTCAGGTGTGATAAGACCTGAGGCTCTTACACATCCACTGTCAAGATCTCAGTCATTGAAGCATAGGTTGGGGGCCACTCTTTCTTCCAACCTCTTCCCCTGGGGTGGTTGGTACTCTGGGTACCTTTGATACCCTGGGGGGCTTTCCTGGATGTCCCGACGTCACTTAGATGAAACACGGAGAGGGGAGCACAGAGTGAGGTACCAGAGTTCCACGTGCCCGGAGTCCTGGCCAAACAGGCATGTTGGGACGAGCACAGGAGGGGGCTTCCCACTGCCTGCGGTTTCAATGATCTTCATAACCTGTCACCTTCGGGAGCATCTGGAGATTGCTTAGATCCGAGAAGCCTTCCCTGCAGGTGCTCCTGTGTGTCTCCATGTCACCAGCGCCTCAGCCCTGGGCAGGTCTCTGTGAGGAAGGAGGCTGGGCAGACAGCATGTAGGTGACTCTGCTGGTGATGGAAGGTGCCCCTTCCCTGGGCGCAGCTCCGCGACAGGCTTCTAGTTAGAAGCAGAGGCCCCCGTGCCGGCCCAGCCCGGCGCCCCTTCTCTCACACCCACCACACCGAGCAGGTCATTTGAGCAAGACATCGCTCGGTAGCCTCACTGGGGCTGTGGGCTATGTCCTCAGTCCCACCTTTCTCTAAGAGGCACTTCCTGATGGACTGATGTTTAAAAGCAGTTGATAGAGAGGAATCTGCCTAGGACTAGATACCCTTTGGGTGACCTTTTTAGTCTGACAAGAGAAAAGATTAAAAATCTAGCAGCTTCCTAATAATCCCAGGGATCATTTGGAATAAAAATACCTTGGCTAAGCAACCAGCTGCTCTATTCAGTAGTGTGCCCTGGTTAGAAGACTGTCCGTGGGCACAGGGTTTCTCCTCCGTTTGTTAGGAGAAATGTTGCAATGCTGATTTTATTTAAATTTATCTTTTAAAAGTTGTGAAATATATATATGTAATATAAAATTTACCGTTTTAACCATTTTTAAGCATACAATTCGGTGGCATTAAGTACATTCCCATTGTACAACCATCACCACCATCCATCTCCAGAACTTTTTTCATCTTTTCAAATGGAAAATCTGTGCTTATTAAACCATAACTGCCCCATTTCTCCCTCCCCTCAGCCCCTGGTAACCACCGTTCTACTTTCTGTCTCTATGATTTTGACTATTCCAGGTACCTCGTGTAAGTGGAATTCTACTGTTTTTGACTAGCTTTTGTGACTGGCTTATTTCACCTGGCATGAGTTCTTCAAGGCTCATCCAGATTATAGCATGGGAAAGGAGTTCCTTCTTTTTAAAGGCTGAATAATATTCCATTGTATGTATATGTGGCATCTTGTTTATCCGTTCATCTGTTGATGGACGTTTGGATTGTTTCCACCGTTGGCTATTGTGACTAGTACTGCTATGAACATGGTGTACAAATATCTGTGCAAGACCCTGCTTTTGATTCTCTTGGGTCTATTCCCGGAAGTGGGATTGCTAGATCATAGAGTAGTTCTATATTTCTTTTTTTGAGGAACCACCTACTGTTTGCCTTAGTGGCCGCACCATTTTATGTTTCCACCAGCGCAATTCTGGTTCTTAATTCAAACTGTATAGATGGGAGGTAGAGGAGAGATGTAGTATCAAGGAATCTTTTGAAGTATATCCAAGGAGTTTGTCAGCATGCTCAAGAAAAATGGTGGCAACCTAAGTAGGTTAGGCTCTCCAACCAAAATGCTTCTGTCCATAAGACAAATATATATTTTTTGAACTGCTACTATATGTTGAGCAAGGTCCTTGGCCCTAGGGATCCAGTAGTGAGCAAGACAGACACAGTCCTTGGAGTCTGCACTTTGATCAGGGAAACCAAAGAGCCTAATGTGGAGACGTCAAATTGCAAGGGCTGCTGGGAAGGAAAGTCTGGGAAACTGTCGGGGTGCACAGCAAACTCTGGTCATGGACACCTGGGAGGGGCTGCCCTGAGGAGAAGCCGCCCTTGCCTGTGAAGCTCATCCTGCTGGAGAGTGAGCTGAGTATATGGTGTGCACCTGTAGTATCAGCTACTCGGGAGGCTGAGGCAAGAGGATTGCTTAAGCTCAGGAGTTCAAGGTTACAGCTATGATCGGGCCACTGCACTCCAGCCTGAGTGACAGAGCGAGACCCTGTCTCTTAAAAAAAAAGAAGACTCTAACAGTCTACTGAGGAAACAGATAAATGATGAAGAGCAATCGAGAATCACAGACTCACAGAAGCAATGTAGGATGTCTCCACTGGTGGAGTGGGAGAAACAAGGGAATGGTCAGTTCTGCCTGGAGAGAGGATCAAAAAAGCCTGCATTGAGGAGGCGACACGTGTCGTGAGTCTGGAAGGATGCA